ATGTTATATAATACAATTATAAATATTATATAATCTAAGCACTTTGTACATTTCTTCAGTTCATTAGTTGTGAAATTATCGCATATCAATGTAATGCTTGGAAGTTTTGTCTGAAAAGACTCTCGGAAGATAGATTCCTCTGTAATCTCAGCTTTGTGCTAAAGCATAAAGAAGGTATTTAAAATTATGATGGTGTTATTTCACTTAATAGTTCTCACAGAGAAGGAGAGAACATATGAGTGTTCTAAGTCGGAGATGGATTGGGCGCACAGAGGGTTATATTTAAAGACTTTTTGCAATGCTAATAAAAACAGTAGTCTGCAAATCAGAGACATGATCACAGTGAACCCGATGGATGTACTGTCTGCTACTGAACACAGCCTAGCAAGTTGACAGATCCCTGGAAGATGATGCAATTCCAAAACTTTTCCATTTTCTGTCTGGAAAACTGTACTTTTAGTTTGAAGCATAGTAGATATTAATTCAATTTATAATGGTACTGAAATTTAAACTCTTGAGAAGAAAACCAGGTATCATTTTATAACATTACTTATTTTTCAATTTCTTGCAGGCAAAAGAAGCCAAACGGTTAAAAGAATTCTTAGAAGATTATGATGATGACAGAGATGATCCAAAATACTACAGGTATGTCTCTGTATTGATTTCTAACAACAGAATGTTTGTTGTTCGTTCTAACACAGTTGTGAGGTTTGTTGGCAGAGGCTATGGAGTTTATATTTGACTGATTATGTGCCAATGTAAGGGTTATATAATTACCTGTTATTTCAGTGTCACTTGATAAGTGCCAGAGGGAAAAGGGGAAACTACTTACTGCTCCTTGTTAATGCTTGGGAGTAGTTGCTCCTCCCTATCAGTTAACTTGTGGGTGAGGCTGAGCAGAGGTCAGTGTAATGCTCAGAATATGGGACGTAGAGAGGGAAAGATCCTTTGGCATGGGACTAACTAAAATTTGGATGAAACTAATTCAGCAGAACTGGTTCTTATAAAGTAAAAACCCATATAATAATTTGATTCTTTTTCTAAGATCGGCAGTCACATTCCCCACATCCATTTAATGTGACGGGGTAAATTCTGTATAGTAATGTTGGGAACTGGTACCTTAGATTCTTCTGTAACCAAAATAGAGGACACAGATGCTCTTAGGAACCTTATTTTCATTTAATGGAAGATACATCTGTATGGGGTAGTTCTTGTATTGTGGTACAAGGTTCTCATTGGAAGATTCTTTGGAGTACTAAATCTGTATCTTTTGTAGGGGTAGTGCTCTTCAGAAGAGGCTACGAGACAGGGAGAAAGAGATGGAAGCAGATGAACGGGATAGGAAAAGGGAAAAAGAAGAATTAGAAGAAATTAGGCAGCGTCTTCTGGCAGAAGGACACCCAGATCCAGATGCAGAACTCCAGAGGGTAAGTAGCTGTTGGTCTGATGGGGGGAAAAAAGAGCCCTTGAAATTCTGGTGCTATTGAGCAAAACTGTGAGAGAGATCTGATAGTTAATATTGGCTCTATTTCACTTCTTTAAAAAAGAGGTCCAGTTAAGCAACAGAAACACTGGAAACAATAACTTTCCCTATCTATGTTTGGATACAGTTCAAAACCAACCTTGGATTAGTGTTTCTGGATGCAGTGGCCATAGTTGCACGTATTTGTTCTTCACTAACAGACTTCTTCAGGAAACTGAGGATCGTTAGGTTCTTTTGAAACAGAGCTGCTTTTGAGAAAGCTGCTTTGTTGCTAATTGTCGGTTTCATTGCAGATGGAGCAGGAGGCTGAGCGGCGTAGGCAGCCACAAATTAAACAAGAGCCAGAGTCAGAGGAGGAAGAGGAAGAAAAGGCAGAAAAAGAGGAAAAAAGAGAAGAGCCGGAGGAAGAGGAGGAGGAGCCTGAACAAAAGCCCTGCCTTAAACCAACCTTACGACCCATCAGCTCTGCCCCATCTGTTTCTTCTGCCAGTGGAAACGCAACCCCTAACACACCTGGTGATGAATCACCCTGCGGCATTATTATCCCTCATGAAAATTCACCTGATCAACAGCAGCCGGAGGAGCATCGGCCCAAAATAGGACTTAGCCTCAAACTGGGCAAGTTTACATTTTATTTTAATGTTCCATATGGGATCAGAGTGAAGAAAATGCCAAGCTGAGTAGTCACATAGTTTTCCAAATATATTGTATTTTTTGACCTACTTGGGTCAAGTAGTTGTTGCCCAGATGGTGAGCTTGCTATCTTCTGGATAGGAGAAATCTTTTATAGATCTCTCTTCTTCCAAAATCTGGAAGGGGAAAAAGGGAGTATGTTATGACACCCTAAAGGCTTCATTTTTTTTAGAAACACTCTGAGCTGGGATTAGTTATTTCCATATGCTTTCTTACCGTAATAGATCTTAATGCCTTTTTTTAAAAACTCATTGCTGCAAGTTTGCGTTAGACTTAAGCCTCAGATACTTCATTTGTTCACAAAGACCCAAAGAAAGCTGAAAATTAGATTATTATAATAATTATACTCCTCTTAGGGTAGCGCAGTGAATTTATGACAATTGCAAATGAAACATGAGTGTAGAGTTCCTTAGCACTTTAGCAATTTCCTGGTGTATTTTAAAAAAAAAAAAGAAGTTGTTCGGGTAGCGCAGTGAATTTATGACAATTGCAAATGAAACATGAGTGTAGAGTTCCTTAGCACTTTCGTGGTGTATTTTAAAAAAAAAAAAGTTGTTCTGAGCATCAGAACTAAGGATATTTTGTTTTCCAGATGGATGTGCATTTATTATTTCTTATTTCAATGAAAGTATACTGGGGCTGCAGTCTGAGCTCACGCTCAGTTAGATCTTGAATCAAGAGGACTGTGTGGTATTAGGCTAACCGATTAACGCTTTTTTGCAGCTAGATTCCTTGCAACCCATCACTTCTGTGCTCTGCCTCTGCTGAGGTTCGAGCTCGTGCTGTAGCCCTCCCTCAGTAAGGGTGCTAATTGGTTTCAGGGCAGAGAAAGCAGACGCTGTTTTTCAAGTATGTTATTCTGTCTTTTGGGTTGTAGGTGCCTGCAATAGTCCTAATCAGCCCAATGCTGTAAAAAGGAAGAAGCTTGCTGTGGATAGCGTTTTCAATAAATTTGATGACGAAGACAGTGATGATGTGCCCCGGAAAAGGAAACTTGTTCCCCTCGATTATGGAGAAGAAGATAAAAGCAGTATCAAAGGCAGTGTCAATACGGAGGAAAAACGCAAACATATTAAGAGCCTCATTGAGAAGATTCCCACAGCAAAACCAGAGCTCTTTGCTTATCCTCTTGACTGGTCAATTGTGGATTCAGTAAGTTGATTTCTTTTAACCATTAAAAAAAAAGGCATAGTTTTCCAAACAAACCCTGGAATTGAAAAGAAAAACAGTGTTCCTGGGACCCCAGTGGATTGAAACACCATCGTCAAATGGAACCAAACTTAGGTTACTGTATTTCTTGTCCATATGTAATACTTACTCTGAAGTATGCCTGATTATTTTTTTTCTTTGATCTCTCCTGAACTGTTGCTACAGATTGTCTCGCAGTTTTATGGAAGGTGAAGAAAAGATCCTGTAAAACATGTTTTGAATGCCTGTGAGAAATACTTGCAGATGCCAGATCACTGCGGGTTATCTCACTGATAGAAAAAAATGTATCTTCTGCTAAATAGTTGTTTGGGTCTTCTAGCTGCCTATTCAGCAGTATTGTTTGAAGACAGTAAAATTTATAGAAATTATCATAGAATCACAGCATGGTTAGGGTTGGAAGGGACCTTAAAGACCATCTAGTTCCAACCCCCCTGCCATGGGCAGGGACACCTTCCACTAGACGAGGTTGCTCAAAGCCTCATCCAGCAAATTATGGTTTTCTTGTTCTTTTTCCAGACACTAATGGAACGTCGAATCAGACCGTGGATCAACAAGAAAATAATAGAATATATTGGTGAAGAAGAAGCCACGCTAGTTGACTTTGTTTGTTCTAAGGTTAATATCTTCCACTTCCTTTTGTGAAGTCTGGGTTTTGCTCTATTTAAGCTGCAGTATCTGGCCTTGAAGGCAGTCTGTTCTCAGCTTCTCTGTAATCTACGATATTGGTCATCAGAGACAGTTGGTGTTCTTGTAAATCATCAGGTTTACATATCGATTCCAAGTTACCTCTTTAATGCCTATGTACTTATGTACATACTAGATGCTCTTTGTTACCTGTTAACACCAACGTATAGAACTGGATAAAGAAATGAGCAGTTGACAGAAGTAGCTGTTTTAACTGTTAATCATTAGATTTCAAAGCTAATATCTCATTGGCCATTAATATTTTTAACTTAAAAATAGGATTTGTGCGAATTCAGGGGGGAAAAAGGCAGTAGCTTGATTTTTTTTCTTTAAACATGCATTTTTTTAATTAACAGAATCACTTCAAAAGCTTTTTAGATGCTGTTGTTACTTTAGTAGTAAGGAAGTACTAGGCTACTGTATGAGAGGCAAAGCAAGTGATATTTTTGTGGCATAGGTGGTTGTTTGAAAGTGAAAAGGAGAAGTTAAATATTTGCCAAACTTAAATTATATATATGCATATATTTTAAAAATGCCGTTTTCTGGTACAAAGACAATAGTTTCTGAATTTTTTTTTAAATACTTAACAGATAGATGGAAAATTCAGTTATGAAGAGTGGTACAGGGAGAAGTTTGCCTTTGTCTTCCATTAGGAATTCACTGTTGAAGGAAAAGGTGCTTTTTCCTTAAATTAGGGGAGCTTAATTGGAATGCAGGAACAGTCATCAGATACAGGAGCTGTTGAATCTCTGGAGCTTCCTGGAACTTGTTCCTCAGTAACTAGCTATAAACTTGCACTCACTATGATGGAAGCTGATATAGTTAAATACTAATTTTTGCCCTAGCTAATACCGGAAAGTAATGAACTGCAAATACTTTTTGCATGTACAAAGAGTTCAAAATCCTTGAGAAGTAACTGTTTTTTTCCAAAGACTTTTCAGTCCAAAAACATTTTGTTTCTTTCAGGTTATGGCTCACAGCTCACCGCAGAGCATATTAGATGATGTCGCCATGGTAAGCAGAAAATGTGTAATTGCTACACCTTCGATATTATACTGAAGCTGATAGTTCTCCAAAGTAGTAGGAGTTCATAATGCATAGTAAACATGCATTAGATATGAAAGCTGTTTTGATTAAACAGGTCATGTTAGCACAGGCATGATTCTGCAGTTGCAGCATCTCGGTAGAAATTGCTGATCCCTGTTCAGAATTTCTCAGTATTCAGAAATGTGAAACAGATTCTGTCCCTTACAGTAGAAGTGAGATGCAACAATAATGGAACTGTATCAGAAATACAAACTTTTATTCCTTCTCATTCTTGTAACTAGATTTTTATAATTAGTGGTTTATTTGGTCTATTCTTAATTAAATGAGCAAAAGATGATTTTCTCTGGAAGAGTAAAAGCACTTTTTCCCCTGGTGTTGAAGAGGGAAACTTTATGAAATAATGCTACTGTTTCACCATAAACTGAAAGGTGAATAAAAACTAATTGTTCACTGCTTTCCAATAAGGAAACTTGGAGGCAGAGTTGGTAGGAGCCAGATTCATAGTACAAGTTAGTAGGTTGTTCTTGGAGTGACTAGTAGGTGACTTGGGGAACTTCCTGAGAGATGTTGTGCATGCTGAAGTTTGCATGGATTCAAGAAAAGCCTGGATAGTAAGTTCAAGGAAGAGAAATCCATCAAGGGATTACTTAATAAATAACCGAGGAAGTTCCAAGCTGAAAACAAGTAGAGACCAGGAGAGAATAAAGGGAAAATGCCATTTGTGTATGTCCTGTTCTTATATTCTTCCCAAGCCTGCCATTTCTCTGCCTCTTCCAAGCCAATTTTGGAGACTAGGATAGTGATGCTCTTATCTCTTAGCATTCAAGAGCTGCATTATACAGGCATATAATTAGAGCCGAGTCAAGTCAGATGATAAATGCAGGACAGGCAAGTTCACTGAAGTTTTATCCAGGGCCTCCCTCAAAGGCTTAACCTGGATTACACTTTGTAGTTCTGATGTTTCTAGAATTAGTCTTTATAACTGGAATGCCTAACCTAAAAAATAATTTATAAAATGTGTATTTCCTACAGGTACTAGATGAAGAAGCTGAAGTTTTCATAGTCAAAATGTGGAGGTTGTTGATATACGAGACAGAAGCGAAGAAGATTGGTCTAGTGAAATAAAGCACTCTCCTTGCTTCTAGGGTTCCATTTCAGTTTTGGGCTTTTTTTTTTTTTTTCCCCCATCATTCAAAGACTTTGAATTTTCTCTGTTCTCAGAGATTTGAGACCTGTATTTTTTTATGTAGAAAATGTGAATTTTTTTTGTCCTCTGCTCTGAGGCCTCCTTTACTCTTCTCAGTTAGTTATCTGAATCCTGCATTGGTTCTCCTTATAATTCACAAGGTACAATTACCGGTATGTTTTATAAGCTGCAGCTACTGTACATGCTCTCTGGTAATTTTGCTATATTACTGAGTCTTGTAAATATTAAGGAAAAAAAAAAGCCCCTGTTTTGCAAAACATTTGCACTTAATGTGGAACTATTCAGTTACAGATGAAGAGAGAGGTCCTTTATATCAGACTCTGGAAAAGGGGTTTCCCTCAGACTTTCCATTCTGATGTGGCACTTTGTTGCCTGTTTAGAATTTCTAATGAGGCTGAGAACATAATCTCTTCCAGATGCTCGGCTTCTTTCCTAGCAAGTGCAAATTGCAGTAAGTTTTTTATTCTTTGCTCCATTAAAACAAGAGCAGCACCCCAAGTCAATAAGCGCTGTTTAATGTTTGGGTTCTTTTTAACCCTAGGATGTCTTATGGTCAATTTCATATTAGCCCTTCCCTATCCCTTCTGTCTCCAAAATAAGCAGTTGGATTTTTTAAAATTTTTTTTTTAGTATTTAGGAAAAAAAACCCAACCAATTTGAATATAACTGACCATAGCATTTGACAAAAACTAAACCATAGATTTTCAAACAATGCTGAAGTCTTGTTTTTACCCGTACTGTTAAACTAGCCCCACCTTTTGTTTTCTACTGTAAGCAGTCTGTTGTCCACAGAAAGAGGGTGGAGGGTGATATTTTCTGCCTTGTTTATATGGGTTTTTATAAATAGGCTGATACAGTATAAATGAGATGTACTGTAAACTGCATTTTTTATCTCATACCTGGTCTTATGTAAGAAGACAAATTGACAATGTGCTAAGAGCTGTTTTGATTGCAGGAGGACTGTGTTCCAGGGAGCAAACTGTCTCAAAAACATTTTTAATTTTTAAACACAATTCTTACTAGCAAACAAATTAAATCAAGGTGTTCCAGTATCTCTATATTGTATTTAACTGAAGGATACAGGTTGACCTGTTCAGAAAACATGACTGTGACCTTGAGTTACCAGTTCTTTGTATCTGGAGAGGACACTTGAAAACACTGTTCTTAACAAATGGGATCGTGTAAAGGTTCCACCATGTAAATATTTCGGATATTAAAAATGTATATATTTGATTTAAGGGCTGACATTCTTTTGGAGTCCTGTGCAGCATGCAATTATATTTAACACTGATTTCTGAATCAACAAATGTTCACAAATTTTGGGGGGGTGTTAAAACTGCCTCCTGCATTATGTCAGGTGACTAGAAGCGTGCAAATGCAGATGTGATCCCAGTACTAGACAGCACAAAATACGGGTTTTTTAACTTGAAGTGTAATGCTCTGATGTTACTCTTATGTTCTGCTTGAGTTTGCCTTAAAATGCTTTGGTTTACATACTTAGATGCCTCAACCTTCCTTTTTTTTTTCTTTCCTGCAACTTGGTATTACTCTAAGGAATTACTTCCCCATTCTCCCCATACAGCTTCGCATCAGCGTTTACCAAAAATTCTCCCAAACTCTGAATAAATTCAAAACTTGCTCTGTCTGTGGTAAATACAGAGAAGGAGAGGGAACCTCATGAGTGCGTTTTGTCCTGCTAACAGGGTGTTTTGCTGTCATCATTAGTAGTTAAACAAGCCAAATGTGACAGATTGCCCAACGTCCTTGTTGAGATTCTTCAGTGACAGCTCAGGTTGTGAAACTTCAGCTTACTTACAGCTTAGTTTAAGGCAGAAGACAGCTCAGGTTGTGAAACTTCAGCTTGCTTACTTCTGCCTTAAACTAAGCTGTATGTTCAGCTGTTGTATTATTTGTGTGTTGGACATAAGCGTGTAGCCTTCCTAAGGAGACCAAAGGTGTCTGGGTGAGAAGGACATCTAAAACTTAGGCTGGAGTGTTAAATATCCAGGTAAATAAGTATTTAAAAGCAGTTGTGACAAGCTCAGGTTGTGAAACTTCAGCTTGCTTACTTCTGCCTTAAACTAAGCTGTATGTTCAGCTGTTGTATTATTTGTGTGTTGGACATAAGCGTGTAGCCTTCCTAAGGAGACCAAAGGTGTCTGGGTGAGAAGGACATCTAAAACTTAGGCTGGAGTGTTAAATATCCAGGTAAATAAGTATTTAAAAGCAGTTGTGACATTAAAAAATTAAAAATTGTGGAAGTTGAGGGTTTTTTCAGTAGAGCAAGGAATATTCACTACAGCACCTCTGGCTTGCCTTATGCAAGTACTTCAACAAATTTTCCTCTTTCAGAATGCAAAATGTTGCTTTATAAAGTCAGTTCTATTGTTTCCCTCTTACTCAAATTAGTGTTACTACTTATAAGTGATAATATTTTGTGTCTGATGCTGGGGGGTATAACACAAATTACGTACGGCTGAGAGGTTCTTAATATAGAAAATAACTTTCCTTTGTTAACTGTTTTTCTTTCAATGTGCAGTAACAAGAATTTTTTTCAAGATAAACTTGGAAAGTTTGGGATAGAAAAAGCCTTTTTTGCCATCATTTGCAACATTTTACTGTCTGAAAATGTGACAATGCACAACATGTGAGTTATGTTAGTGAATGCACAGAGAGTGTTCTGAGATCCATTAGCAAAGTATGGATGCTGCCACTGGGTATTCAGTGCAGCATGTATTATGTCCCATTCTGTGATGTAAATGTACTTCAAAAGTTACACATAGTGCATAGAGGGAGAGAAAAAAGTCAGTATTAACAACAGAACTGGATACACTAGTCCTTGATCTGGACTTTGCTGCAGAGCGAGGCTTTAGTCCTCAACCCCACACATGCCTTTAGTCTCCCAATAACTGTTCTGCATAACTGCCATACGGTGTTACTTGGAAATACAAAATGCAAATATTATTTAATATAATAATACTATAATAATGTATTTTGTACTTGGAAGTACAAAATATAAAGTATTGTTGTTTTCATTAGGTGCTCTGAAAAGAAATGGGAAACTCTGAACAAGATCCAGCACCAAGAATGCCACATTTTTTCTATTACCATTAATTTGATGAGACTTTTTTTGATCTTCAGATATTTAGCCAAGTCACATACTGATTTGGTCTAATTTTGAGCCTTTTGGTACCCCCCCTTCTCTTTAAACAAGAGCCTGCCCTAAAAATAACCACCCTAGCTGGATGGTTGTGGGTCTGAATCTGGGCAGGGGGAAGGCCCCAAAGGGTAAGTTCAGTTTCTTACTGAATTCCTATTTCTTACTACTAATGCTTTCCTGTTACCGAGAGGGAAGCATTAGACCTCTCCTGCTTTTACTGAGTGGAGTTGCTACTTGCAGGAGTAGTATTTTAGAAAGGGGATACGCTTAAAGCTGGAAGCTTTTGTATTACAACAGGGTCACACTCTTCCTGTGTAGGAAAATAGGATGTTCTACATGCAGACTTACAAATTAGTACACAGCCCTGCAGGGTGAGCAGCGTAAGGCACTCATAGGCGTTTCATCATAGATCAGTAATGTAAATGGAGAATAGTTGGGTATGTGCATGTTTGGGGTTTTTTACCCCTTAAAATGACATGCTTTTATTTGGTTCATGGTCAGGCATCACTTTCATTCTAAAACCAGCTGCTTCTGAATGCACTGCATAGGCACACAACCCACTGAAACTTGGTGTTCCTGTCAAAATGCTGGTGTAAAACTTAACTGGTATGAGCAATCCTCTTCCATGCCACTGCGTTTTCCCACAGATTTTCCTGTAGTGTAGTCACATAGTGAAATACATCGTCTGTTCTAAACATGCAGAATTACAAGGCCTCTCCATAGATTCTGCTTAGGTTTATATTTATAATGACTCCATGTATCGCTGTGTTTTCCTTATGTTAGTAACCCCGTTAGGATATGCATTCTTAAAAAGGACTTGTGGATCCCCCTTCAGATCTCCTGGATGGCAAGGTAAGTTTCAAGTCTGAAATCACCTTTCTTCCGCAGGTGAGTCACAGCTCAACTACAGGCTTTGCGGAAAAGAGACCATGTCGGCCTCAGATGAAGTTTAAATAGCGTTTATTTTGTAACGCAAAGATCCCTTCAAGTTATTTACATATGTGCTTTTGTGGGACCCTTTTAAAATAAGGTTACTGGCTTCTACGTGACTTGAGCTCCAAACAAACCCACCAAGAGGTGTATTTTCTCATTATACCCCTCTCTTGACCTGGCTGCGTCTCCTGCCTGGTTAAACAGGACACTCTCTTCCTTGCAGGAGCGCTCCCCCACCCAGCCTGCTCCTAACCTCGGCCGCGCTTCCAGCTGCCCTCCCCGGTCTCGCTGTCGTGCTTTCGCTCCAGGGCGAGCTTTCAGCTGCTGCTTCCCGCCTCCCCCGCGCCTGTGCTGGGCGAGGGCTCCCCGCTGAGTCGGGGGGTCGCTCCTGCTGCAGCGCCCGGAGCGTGGCTGAGGCCGCCGGAAGTGAGGTCACGGCGGG